TGTGAATATGAACATGAAATTTAATCTCAGTCTAAGCTCTTGTTATTTCGTGATAGAGACTAAATTGCTATATGATTAACTTTAAATGTAATTAAAATATTCATTATTTGCAACTCTGAAAGATTAGAGTAAAATATTCTTATAACGACAATAACAAGAATCACATACCTAAACAGTATGAGTCGAAAAAAGAAAACTAAATGATTAAGATGTTCATTAGCTGCAGACAAAAGTGAAGGTAAAAAGTCTTTGTGTTTGTTATGTTAGCTGTAAGCACAGCTAAGGCTCATCCTGAGTTTTTAGCATTTTTAATCCGAAACAAATAATTCTAGGAGTAGATTGATCTCTTTGTAGATTGTATAAGTATGCATATGAATAAAAATGTTCATATTTTGAGTCATTACTGTAGATTCGCCAACCGTGTGTGCGTGTGCATGTGCGCGTGCGTGCGTGCGTGCGTGCGTGTGTGCGTGTGTGCGCGTGTGTGTGCGTGTGTGTGTGTGTGTGTCCGTCCGTCCACAGTGGCCGACAGCAGCAGTAACTGGGCGGTGTGTGGGAAGAGTTCGGGGATGGTGTCGATGCCCATGGCGGCCGACGCCACCCACAAGGTGCAGATAGAGGTGATGCCTCTGTTCGCGGGACACCTGCCCTTCCCCAAGATCAAAGTGCTGAAGTACCTGCCTCACACCGCAGCGCTGGCCATTCAACCAGACCCCGGTAAGACTCTAAATATCAGGTAAACCTTGTTAAGCCACTGTCTCTGAGGCAACATGAAGTCCTCGTTCAGGACAAACTGGTGGAAACCACACTGGTCCGCCACAGTCTTAAGAACCAGGATCTTGTTGATCTCCTCTTCTTCGTGGATGCTCAGTAACGTGTCCCGTTTTTTCTCGCCGCCCTCAGACAGCTGCGTGGAGAACGACAGCCTGTCCCTGCTGGACAAGGTGCTGGACGACCAGGGTGACACGGCGAGCATCCGCAGCCGGGGCAGCGTGCACTCTGTGGGCAGCGGCGACCAGCAGCAGCAGCAGAGGGGCGTGGCCATGCCGCGCCTGGAGCCCTTCACCGCCGGGCAGGTGTTCAACCAAAGCCACACGCAGCAGGTCCTGGTGCTGCCCGCCACCGACGACCACATCATGGAGGTCAACGCCACATGACCCCGGTGGCGAGACAGCCCTCCCCCTTCTCATAGAACCGAACCCAGGCCCCAGGTGGACTCTGCTGAGCTTTTGCTCCGGGGAAGATCAGGTCCACGAGTCCATGCCGAAGACTGCCGCAGGTCGCCGGCATGGACTCCTCGCCCCCCTAAGCATGAAACGTTCACATCACTGGAGACTTACGGACTGGACACAGTGAAGAGCCAATGACATCTGCTGGTAACATTTAAATAAAGATTTTTTCTTTGCCATAATTTGTACATAGCTCATTGGATATATATATCT